AGCCCGCCCATAGAGCCCCGCCCACAGGAGCCCGCCCACAGGAGCCCCGCCCACAGGAGCCCGCCACAGGAGCCCCACCCACAAGAGCCCCGCCCATAGGAGCCCCGCCCATAGGAGCCCCCCGCCCACAGGAGCCCCGCCCACAGGTGCCCCGCCCACAGCCCCAGCGGGGCCCAGCCTGGAGTCCTCCCAGCCCAGGTGCAGCAGGAAAGGATGGGGCCTCTAAGAATCCAGCTGAGGCCCCAGACCTGTGGCAGAGGCAGCCCGCCCCTGCTCTGTCCTGAGCATCTAACGCACTTGCTTTCGCCGCGGAGTTTGGGAGAAGGTTGTACCGTAGCAGGAGACGAGCAGACGGGCGTTCTGTGACTTTCCCAGCTGCGGTCATGCCTTTCTCCACACGGATCTGCTGCGGACCTGTGAGCGCAGGCTTGGAACTTGGCCCAGGGTCAACCCGAGTTACCGCTTCCCTCTCGCAGGTGAGGCCAGGGGCTGGGTTAGAATCAGCACTGGCTGCGACCCTGTGCTTCAGCCAAACCGACGCACCCCGCCGGGCTCCTGGAGTCGGAGCCCTGGCCCCTGAGGGTCTCAGTGTGGGTCATGCAGGGAGGCGCAGGGGAGAGGGCGCCTGGGCTAACCGACAGGCAGAGCTAAAAGTAACCCTGGCGGGTAGCTCAGTTGTCCTGATGCGCGAGGCTGTGGGTTGGGTCCCTGGTCAGAGTACAGCGGGTGCATAAATAAGTAGAACAGCGTACTGATGTCCCCCCCTTTCTCCCTCTTCCTTCCGCTCTCTCTCTCAAAAAAAAGTCAATAAAAATAACCATGGCATTTGTTTATATTAAAATATTACATTAACATTAATTATATTATGGACTTTATTAACATTAAAATACTATATATTTAATATATGTTAAAAACAACACATGGGTCTTGCAGAAATGTTTGACAGAAAAAGCATTTCTTGTAATATCAGTGCCCAGAAAGCATATTGCCAACCCGACGGAGTATCTCCTCCATTTCTACTCTGCAGCTTTGACCGAGCTGCAGCTCTTAGCAAACTTTCCCCATGTCTTGACGCAGAGACCAGGTGGCAGGAAGAAGCATTCCCACCAGGCGCAGGCGAGGTCGTGTTGGGGCATGTGGCCCCCTGGTCCCCTGCCGTGGCCCAGCTCCCAGCCACGCACAGAACAGCCCTGGGGGACGCACTCTGAGGGCGCAAGGCTGCGCGTCCTTCCTGCCGTTTCTTGCACAAGCAATGGCCTCTGTTAACTCACAAATAGAAGGGCCTTTAAGCAAGAGGCAGCGCACGTTTCTTGAGATCAACAAGCATAGCTACTGGGGATGCTCTGACCAGGCAGAACCGCCAACGCTGTCTGACTAGGAGGCGAAGGCGAGGGGTGTTTATGGGAAAGGGAGGGGACACTGGGCCCCTGGAAGGCGTGTCTGACGGTGCAGACAGTATGATAGTGGTGTTAATGCTAAACGAGGTTTTTAATTTTCGGTCTGGCACTCATCATCACTGCTTTCTTGTCATTGCAAACACTTCCCTAGGCTCAGTGCAAAGGCTGCCTTGCCTGCTTTCACCTTCCAAGGCTGAGGCCTAA